TGTGAACACAAATTAGTTAGCATAAATCAGCTAAATGACGAAAAATTAGGTGTCTGTTTACTTGTGACCACTCAGTGTAGATAAGTCTTATAAAAGCATTTTTATATTTGTAGGAATAGTGAGACAAAATAGGTATCAAAAAACTAAGCTCTATCATCACATGCAACTTAGGTTTAACTCAGATTTAAGTAGGCATATCCATCACCAAAACAGAAAACTGAATTAACCACCTGTTTTTATGGAAGCTAGTGTCTCTGTAGGAGTAGTGAGAAATAGTAAAGATAGGCACCAAGACACTAAACCTTGTGTAGGCAGCCCATTGGCCAATGGCCATGTGTAGCCATTTCACAAAAATATGTGGCCAACTTGTAGAATCATCAATAGTGTGTTTTTCTAGCTGGTCAGAGAAAAAGAATGCCAAATCTCTCAATGAAATTTCACACTTTTGTAATTTTGAAAAAGTATTTATTTGTACTTTTGCATTGTGTTTATAATTGACCTTGACTGTCATTAGAATCCTGAAATAAATTTATTTTGCAAAACTTTTCTGTGATTGACTGGCCACATCCATGGCCAGGAAAAAAATTTGGTTGCCTACCCATGCACTAAACTGTATCAACATGCAAAATAGGCTTACCTCACACTATGATAGGCATATCCATCTCCAAAACAATAAACACTTAATATGTAATGAGTGATGATATAGATGACATGTAAACCCTGCTAACTCGTATATAAGCAGTAATGAATAAGTAAAAAAAAAAAGGAGAGAAAGGTGCCAAAGGAATAAAATATATCAACATGAAAAGTAGACTTATCTGGCTCTAAAACTAAACTCTGCTGTCTTTCTACTAGTGACAAGATGTTTGTTAGAGTTTTCGTATTTTATCATAGAATTTACAAATTTTTATGAGACTGACAAAATTAGCAACTACTTTCAAAAGACCTCACTTACCTTATCCAAGATAACTGAAAGATCATTTAGGAGTTAATGAGTGTATTTATGTTCTGATATTAATGAAGTACTAATTCATTTATCAGGTATAACATCACTATTGTATAAACCATATGTATATATTCAAAATTTTTCCTTGTCACGTACTTAGCATTAACAAGATGTACTTCTGCCATGTTATCTCGGTGATTAGGAAAATTTATTAGATATTACTGGCAGGTTATGAACAGGAGTACTTTTCCAAAGAGTGTAGGCTTAATTCAGTGATTAGGTAAAAACTGATTAGATATTGACAGCAATCTTTAAGCAGGGACTGTTCTTTAAAATAACTTAGGCTTAGTTCAGTGATCAAGAAGAAATGGTTAGGCCTAGGGAAAATAAAATGTTGTGTTTGTGGTAACTCAATTGACTTGGGAAAAAGTTCCAGATTCAAAAAGTTTTAGGCTATTTCTTGCAAAAAATATACAAATAATATACTCTAATATTTTTTATCAGTTGGCAATGTTTTAATCCCTGTTATTCAAGTGAGCAAATTCAGTAATGAACTCTTTCACAGAATGTAACTATGATTAATACTAACATTATTTGCATGAATGTTTACTTGAAATTCTGTCAGATAAAAGTCAATATTGCAATAAATTTATATTAACATAGTTGTGTGTTTTTATTCTAATATTATTATGCTAATTTTTGGTAACAAACCTTAGTAGATAATTATTTATTTGTTGATTCCCAATATTTTTGTGTAAACATTTTTTTTTTCCAAGACAGAATATGAAACACGCTTCTTTTTTGAAACAGCCTGCTTGTTTCAGTTTGTTGACAGGCACTATACTCTTGAGTAAAAGTTTCTCAAAGTGTCCATCTCTAACAATGTCAGCTAAGACATATGTTGATCTACATACTATTACTAAAAGTAGTTGCACGTACCTCATGATGTTTAGTAACGTGACTTTAACACTTGATTCCAGTGCTAAGTAATGAGTTTCCTTGTTTATAGAAATAACGTAGAGACTTCTCACACCCATGTGTTAAGACCAAGGAGTGTTTTGTAGTTCGTGGCAAATGACAAGAATTGAAGAAAAAAAGAAATTCATGACAGTTCTTCCTTCATTAAAAACTGTTTAAAATGAGGACTTCAGCCTATAACCTCTATACATTATGTGAAATCAGTATGATATAAGGAGAAAAATGATGCATATTTGCCGAAAGAACAGACAAAACTAAAGAAACTAAAAGTAATTTATTTCTTGTTTTGATAGAATGTATGCAAAAAATTCTCTATTTTGACAATGGTATGATATGGTACAGTGTAATATTGCTTAGGGGAAAAGAAATACTATTTACCTAATCTAATTTTTCCTGGAATGTTACCATAAACACAGAATTGATTTTTGTTTTGAAAAAGGGGGATTACTCTTTAACATAACTTATTCCTAATTCAGTGATTAACTCTTTCAGCACGGGCTTGGCCCCTGGGACCGATCTCTTAACCATTTTGTGCTTGTTATAGTTTTCATGCTATAACTTTAAAATTAGTAAGCATATGTTAAAAAAAATTTGCATATTATCAGTAAACATTACAATGCTTTCATATACAAAATATCAGATTTTTTTTATTAAGTTTTAGGGTTTGTTAAGCAATGTTTTTCACATCCTTTTTCTTTTCACAGGTTGCCTATCCAATGTGGAAAGTAATTTTCATTTTAAGATTAAAAATACTTTTATACATCAGAAAATTTTAAAATTTCACATGCAAAAACTTTATATTTTATCTGTTATTTTCCCTAACGAATCTCTGTGCCGGTTTGGTCTATTTGATCGATCTCCTACTACTGTAAAAAATGAGGAAATAAATATAAATTCTGCTTCTTTCATTCTAGAATGACAACAAATTATAACATGAAAACATATATGTTTAGACTAAATAGCTTAAATCTCATAACATTATACATTTATATATATATATATATATTATTTTTATTATATTGACCTTTCAGTTGTGCTTAGCTAACAAAACAGAAGTTACAATGATGTGGCACACGTGCACTCATGTTACCATATCCAATAATATAAAACTGACCTTTAGTCTTCAGAAAGTGACCTGTCTTGGCTGTGTTTTAATGGACTAGTATTTTGTAGAATACAGTCACATTTCAATTATTATACAAATATGTATATAGATTGTTACTATTTACAAACAAGTTCTTGAACTTATTTTTCTTAAAAGATAGAACAGTAAATATAGAAGTAAAAGCAAACAATTATCTCTTCTAGTTATGAACTTTGTACTCATTTGCTGCTTGCCATAGGCTGCTAAGCCTTAAGAAATATTGCACGTGGACGATGTGAAATGAAATAATTTTTTTAGGTTTTATATATACATCTGAATAACCAAAAAATAATAAATTACTATATCGATACCATCGAATTCCACAATAATTTATCAAGTTTAGTAAATAACCTGTACTTGGGCCTAAAAAATATATAAAATTTCGAACAGGCTAAAGACTCAACTTATCAGCATGAAGGTTTGATGCTGATATATTTGAAAATAGCTGAGAAAGCCAATAGGGGACATTCTGAGCTTTTAGTTGGTTATTCACATGTCATATACTGAAGTAAGTGTATATAAGGGACTATTTCCAAAAATGGAAAGAGGTGAGCAGGGGCCACTGTGTTTAATTCAGTACATGAGCAAAAAGGGATATTGGTAATTTGAGTTCCTAATTTGTACAAAACTATAGACTTTGTATTTTGACATCACAAACATCTAATTTGAACCAGTGCTGCATTCAACATGACACAAAAATGTTTAGGTGTTTTTTTCATCTTTGCTTTTAAATTAAGAAATTAAATAATGTAAAATATGAAAATTTAAATTATAGTACACAGTTTGATACGAAACTTAATGACATAAATTCATTAAATAGTAGTTCAATAAAATTTTGAATGCGAGTCAGCAAATGCGTTGACATGGCCTTTGACTCATTACCCCTCTGTAAAAGGTTAAGAATAATTGATCAGGTAAACTGGCATTATAGGAAGAAGGGATTACTCTTTTAAAATACAAAAAGAAGCTTGATATAACTCCGTGATTAAGAAGTAATCAGGTAAACTGGCATTATATGAAGAAAGAATTACTCATTTAAAATACAAAAAAGAAAGTTTGATATAACTCTGTGATTAAGAAGTGATCAGATAAACTGGCATTTATGAATAAGGGATTATTCTTTTATAAGAAACTTGGTTTAATTCAGTGATTAAGAAGAACTGATTAGATATGCCCGCAGAAAGATACCTAAGCTGTAAAAAAAGCTAAGTCCAATGATTAAGAAGATATCACTAGAACTTAAGTTATTCAATTATAACCATTTTCAGTTGCGTGTTTTTCTTTTTAAATAAACAAAAACTAGGTGTAATAGTTTTGATTTAAGGATTCTTTATGTTGATTTAAGGATTCTTTATGTTGATTTAAGGATTCTTTATGTTGATTTAAGGATTCTTTATGTTGATTTAAGGATTCTTTATGAAATTCTGTAATTTCTTAGTAGCAGAATAGACATTTTCTCTTTAGCAATTAGAAAAGAGTTTATTTTGGTTGGTCTTTCAGATAATGATTTTGTTGTTCTCTGTTTTTAGGATATGCGGACAACAGTGGTTGCCAAGCAACTGGATATCACAGAACTTGAAGGAGAACTGCGAAATGCAATTCGAAACGTTGAAGTAAATATCTTTTTAATCAAGTGAATGAATAATGCAAACACAGAATTAAATTTATACATAACTCCATGCTGCAATTACATAGTCATACCATTTTTATGATTAGAAAATTATTATAAAATGTGTGTAATGTGGTAACACATTCTTTGTCATTATTAAAACATTGTTAATAGATTGGATATCACATGGATTGCAAAAGTTTAGTGAGCAAGCTAATACATGTAAGGTACAATGGATAAAATAAATGTAGAACAACTACAAGAATGTAAGAACGTCACTAGATAAAATATTATAAACAGAATTAATGTATAACAATTACAAGAATGTAAGAAAGTCACTAGATACAATATTATAAACAGAATTAATGTATAACAATTACAAAAGTGTAAGAAAGTCACTAGATACAATATTATAAACAGAATTAATGTATAACAATTACAAAAGTGTAAGAAAGTCACTAGATACAATATTATAAATAGAATTAATGTATAACAATTACAAAAGTTTAGGAAAGTCACTAGTTGAGTATTATTGACAGACTGAATGTAGAACAATTACCAAGGTTTAGGAAAGTCACTAGTAGAAAATTATTAACAGACTGAATGTATAACAATTATCAAGGTTTAGGAAAGTCACTAGTAAAGTATTATTGACAGACTGAATGTATAACAATAACCAAAGTTTAGGAAAGTCACTAGTAGAATATTATTGACAGACTGAATGTATAACAATAACCAAAGTTTAGTAAAGTCACATGTAGAGTATTATTGACAGACTGAATGTATAACAATAACCAAAGTTTAGGAAAGTCTCTAGTAGAGTATTATTGATAGATGAATGTATAACAATTACCAAGGTTTAGGAAAGTCACTAGTAGAGAATTATTGATAGGCTGAATGTAGAACAATTACAAAAGTTTAGGAAAGTCACTTGTAGAGAATTATTGATAGGCTGAATGTAGAGTAATTAAAAAAGTTTAGGAAAGTCACTAGTAGAATATTATTGACAGACTGAATGTATAACAATAACCAAAGTTTAGTAAAGTCACATGTAGAGTATTATTGACAGACTGAATGTATAACAATAACCAAAGTTTAGGAAAGTCACTAGTAGAATATTATTGACAGACTGAATGTATAACAATAACCAAAGTTTAGGAAAGTCTCTAGTAGAGTATTATTGATAGATGAATGTATAACAATTACCAAGGTTTAGGAAAGTCACTAGTAGAGAATTATTGATAGATGAATGTATAACAATTACCAAGGTTTAGGAAAGTCACTAGTAGAGAATTATTGATAGATGAATGTATAACAATTACCCAAAGTTTAGGAAAGTCACTAGTAGAGAATTATTGATAGGCTGAATGTAGAGTAATTAAAAAAGTTTAGGAAAGTCACTAGTAGAGAATTGTTGACAGACTGAATGTAGAACAATAACCAAAGTTTAGGAAAGTCACTAGTAGAATATTATTAACAGACTGAATGTAGAACAATTACCAAAGTTTAGGAAAGTCACGTGTAGAGTATTATTGATAGGCTGAATGTATAACAATTACCAAAGTTTAGGAAAGTCACTAGTAGAGAATTATTGATAGACTGAATGTAGAACAATTACCATGGTTTAGGAAAGTCACTAGCAGAGAATTATTGACAGACTGAATGTAGAACAATTACCAAAGTTTAGGAAAGTCACTTGTAGAGTATTATTGATAGGCTGAATGTATAACAATTACCAAAGTTTAGGAAAGTCACTAGTAGAGAATTATTGATAGACTGAATGTAGAACAATTACCATGGTTTAGGAAAGTCACTAGCAGAGAATTATTGACAGACTGAATGTAGAACAATTACCAAAGTTTAGGAAAGTCACTAGTAGAGTATTATTGATAGGCTGAATGTAGAACAATTACCAAAGTTTAGGAAAGTCACTAGCAGAGAATCAGTGATAGACTTTTTTGTAGAAAGATTACAAAAGTTTAAGTCCTCAGTACAGTATTATTAACAGACTTAATGTAAAAATAATTCTGAATATTTTGTTTCATTTTGTTGTTAGAAAAAATATGACTGCTGCCTGTGAAGTTTTTGAAAGTGAAGAAGTCTGTGTTGTGAAGTTAACAATCCAGTGTATCTCAGTAATTTAAATACTGTTTTATTGATTTCTAGACTATTAAGCAAGTGTATTAGCTCTTTCAGTCAGTATAATCACTATAATAAACTAAGACAATTCTTTTGTAGGAGAAAATTCAGAAGATAAATATCTTAATAGAGAATGTGTCAACAGATGAAACAAACTTGGAAGCCAAGATAGAAAAAAGAAAATCTGATTTGGAAAGAAACCAGAAACGTTTACAAGCATTGAAATCAGTTAGGTAATATATATATACCTTGAAGATTTGAAGAGAAATATTTTTTATGATATTCACTTTATTGTGTGAGGATTAACTTTCAACATCTCTATATAACTTATTACTTGTTTGTTTCAAAATGTATTCAGAAAACTTACAAAAGACTATCTGATTTTAATCTAATAGTTTCTCTACATTCATCAGAAAACTTACAAAAGACTATCTGATTTTAATCTAATAGTTTCTCTACATTCATCAGAAAACTTACAAAAGACTATTTGATTTTAATAGTTTCTCTACATTCATCAGAAAACTTACAAAAGACTATCTGGTTTTAATCTAGTAGTTTCTCTACATTCATCAGAAAACTTACAAAACACTATCTGATTTTAATCTAGTAGTTTCTCTATATTCATATATTTCATTTGTAGAATTAACACTTCCCACAAGATCCAAGAGAATTGGCCATAGATAGATGCAACATATGTATTCGAGGAGAAAATCTCCTAGGTTATCAGACCCTCTTTCAATTTCAATGTATAGCGATAATTCAGTATTTCCAACAGTTTTAACTCTTGCCATGGGTATCCTTCACTGTGCATTACACAAAGTTTTATGTCTTACATTCAAAGTTTTATTAAACTACTTTTTGTTTATGTTATAGCAATTAGTATAGCATAAAATCATAGCTAACAATCCATATTTCAATTATATAAGTGTTAAGTTCTTAATTATACAAGACAATGTTAAAAAAGTCCTGAATTTCCCCTAGTGTGACGCACGACGCATTATTTTTAGACATCTTATTTTCTCTCTTTTATCCACCACCTCTCCAATAAGTACAAACATAAATTACTCACTATAAAATAGTTATTGCTCAGACAAACCATAATTTTTATAGCCTTCAATTTTGTTTGGTTACAGAGCTATCAAATATAAAATGAGACCCTCCTGCCAGATCCTGTCTTTCAGGATTGATTAATAGTTCTCTCTTATGTTTAATTATATATTACTTATAACCAATAGAAAGCCAAGGTTTTCATCTATCAAATGACTTATTGTATATTGTGTTCTGAACAGATAAGTGTCAATTTCACTTATAATACATTTTTCACTCCCGTAGTAATAATAACGACGAGCTTGGATGAATTTGTAACAGCTTTTGTCGCATATTTAGAAAGCCAGAAAGAAAATGTTATTTAGTGCATTGCTACCATTAGTGTAAAAAAAGGTAGGGTTAAGTGTGATTGACAATTGACAGCAAGAAAAAAGAAGATTGAGTAAGTACTTTATTTTTTGTTTTTCATGTTTATTCTTTATTTATTATTATAAAAGTTACTAAAATATAAAAATATGTATATTTTTAGGTTAGTTAAGATTAGATTATGTAAAATATATAATAATAAAAATAATATAATAAAAATGTTTAATAAGGCATGCACGTGAGCAGCTCATGGGTAATGTAAATTGATAGTGTAATGTGAGCTGCACTTTCCCCTTATAATGGTCCAGATAGTAGTTAGACACAATAAAATTTAATTATAAGTAGATGTATACTGTTACGAGTGTAAAGCTACTTAGGATAAACGAATGTAGTTTCGAAATCATTCTAGAAAGAAAAAGAGGGTAATTTAGATTTGGGGGGGGGGGTATGAGGTCAGTCAAATTGGCCAACCTTGTATAGAGTTAGGCTAGAGAAAATAACAGATACAATATAGAGTTTTACTGAAAACAAACATTCGAAGTGTATTTAGAAAGTTTTAGAGATTACACAAATGAAATTTGAGATTTTTGGAAAGGAGAAAGTATTTTTTATCTTAATATGAAAATCACTTTACATACAGACTATTCAAAACAAATACTCAATATATTCATGGACAAATCTTTAGTTTAGTTTATTAAAAATACGTCACTAAAAATATGATTTTTTGTATGTGAAAGACTTATAATGTTAACTGAAAGGCTGCCAAATTTTGTGAAGATATACATACTATATTGAAAGTTAGAAGTATTAAATCTATAAAGACTTTAAACGAGTACAAAGAAGTCACTTGGTAGGTTGAATTGACCAAGTCTGTGTTGAGAGTGTTAGTGAAGCTTTTAGTAGCAAGATCCTCTAGCAAGTACTTGTAAATACATTGTCTCTGTACTGTGAGTCAACTCTACTCATTAATTGATCTTTTACATAGCCGCTGAACTTTTTCTAAACCTGAGAGGCAATGGGGGTTAACCCCGAACATTTCTTCATAAGTGGAGTGTTAAATAATTGCCTACACGCCAGTGTAGATTATTCTAAACAGTGTTATATTCCACACTGGAAATACTATTTATCTGCACCTGGGTAGTCTAGTTTATGAGAAAATTGGAAATATTTTTTTCATGAGTAACTTGGATATTTGTATAAAAACTTCTCTTGATTGGCTTAAGATTAGTCTGATCACTAATCCTTATTGTGCAAACTTAACATTATTTATTGCCCAAGACCAATGTACAACTATTGATATTTCTTTTTTTTTTAATTTTCTAGGTTTATAATTTGATTATTTTGATTTGAATAAAATTTCTTTATACAGAAATAGCTTTAATTTCAAATATGAAAGTGATTTTTTAAACACAACGTATATTTCACTAAACATTCAGATAATTATGCTGGGTTTTGCGAGGCAATGCGTTGATGTCGTTTGTAGCTCAATATGGCAATTTGTTGGATTGGCTAGAGGAAACCTGTAATGATACTGTGTTGCCATCAAATGTGCATGTACAAGCTCATGGGTTTATTAATAGCATGCAGGAGTTCAGTGTTTTTTGGTCTGAAGCTGTTTGAAAATAACTCAGCCAGTGCACATTCTAATACAGTCACCTAAATTTTGTCCAAAATTGAAGGCACTGCTTCTCTTCTATAGGATGCTGGCATTGCAACACAGTTTTATAAATCCATTTCATCCACTTCTAATTTTATAGGCTTTGAAGAGCCTGCATTACACAGAAGTGCAAAGTCACACAAACTGTGGAAGCTGAATTTGAAAGTATATACCAATCAGTGTTTGCAGCTGCTGTTGAATCAGTTTCTGTTAGATATCCTACAGATGATTTGCATAAACTAGCAGTGATCGAGAAATCTCTATGCAAGCAATCTGCAACTGATTTTGATGAAAGTTATGACATTTGTCAAGATGACCTGATGCCATTAAATAATATCAAAGGACTGTGTGAAATATGAAATTGAACAAGTGCCAAAAATTTATCAAAGATTTATGTTCACTTTGTGAAACAATGTGCAAAAATCTTGTGCTTAAGGATGTTTGTCCATCAGCTTTTCCCATGCTCAAAATCTATACGATGGTTCCGAGGACTACATATACTGCTGAAAGATCATTTTCTGCCCTAAAGAAGCTGAAAAGTTTAATATGTATAGAGTATTTTTTTATTTCTCGGTTGGAGCAACTTGTCTAGGAGATTTTCAGAGGGGCCAGCCCCCCTACCCCCAAGTTCAATGGGTATGTTTTAGCAAGTACATGTAAATAGATTTTTGTTTACTATGGTTTATCCCTACTCACTAATTAGAGCAATGGTCCTTTACCAAGTACTTGTAGCCACCCAGTGGCTCACATTAAGTCTGTAGGCTTATAATGTTAAAATTTGGGTTTTGATACTGAATCCATTTACTAGATCAATGTACCAGATGCACAAAGGACAGACACCTGGATGGATGTACTAGATACACAAGGTACAAACACCGGGATGGATGTACTAGATGCACATGGTACAAACACCTGTATGGATGAACAAGATGCACATGGTACAACCACATGGATTGAAGTACTAGATGCACAAGGTACAAACACCTGGATTGACAGTACTAGATGCACAAGGTACAAACACCTGGATTGATGTATTAGATGCACAAGGTACAAACACCTGGATTGATGTATTAGATGCAC